AACCACCAAGCACCGAGTCTCCTCCTTGATGAATGTCGTGGCCAAAAAATGCTGAAAACAGTCCACATCAGGTCTACACGACGTAACAACAAACACAAAGTGACAAAACAAACAGAAAAACAACAAAAAAAGCAAGGCTCATGAGAGCACTTGCCGATTACTTACATTTTCCATTGATTTAGGCGATATGAAATGTTATTTTTCACCTTCTACCTATGATGTCATTTCAAACAAAAAATAAAGTTAATGTTACTGTATTTTCCGCACTAAAAGGCGCGCCAAAAAGCCTTCCATTTTCTTAAAAGCTCACAGCGCGCCTTAAAATCCGATGCGCCTTGTGGTTATTACGGTAATATGTCGACCCCAAAATGGCTCCTTGTTTGAGACCTGCTTTCAAAAAAAACTTAAGGCGATCGGGTTACGCAGTTGAACACGGAAATAGAGCAGCGGCAAGAGAGTTCAATGTTAACGAGTCAATGTTATAACTTGCTGTTGGTTAAGTGAACTGTGTCGCTGCTTTATTAAATAAGTTTTACTGACATCTGATCGTTCTGTAGCAATGCCACTCAACAGCTAAGGTATCTTAGCTGTTGTCGTTTGTTCAAAGCTCCTTTGATCTGTGACGTGGGTTGCGTAGGCGCTGGTTGGTTGAACCACGTGCGTACGTGCTCGGCGCTCACGCGCGCACAGAGAGCAGCGGACTATGGACTGCTGAGGCATGCTTCACTTGAGTGGCCTTGCTACAGTTCTGTTGGCATTTCCTTGAGCGTAGCTCCATCTAGTGGATGCATTGTAGATTGCACCTTATAGTGCGGTGCATCCAATATAAGATAAGATAACCTTTATTTGTCCCACATTGGGGAAATTTGCAGTCTACAGCAGCAAAATTGGGGGGGGGGGGAATTTCAAAATAGGCCTTTCATTGAAGGTGTGCCTCATAATCCAGTGTGCCTTTTAGTGTGGAAAATACGGCAGTTTATGTCGCATGTTCACAATCTGAGGCGAGCCATCTCGTCCCACTGCTCCACTGGGCGGGAGAGTCACCTGTGACTCCTTTTTCTGTGCCGATGTAGTGCTATGTGATCATATTATGACAGGATACATAGTATTATTTAAAAACATCCATCATGCCATCTAATCCTATTGTTTTTACAATGTTATTGTGATGTGTGGGATCGGTACACAGGTCCTTCTCAAAAAATTAGCATATTGTGAGAAAGTATTTTCTGTAATGTACTGATCAACATTAGGCTTTCATCTATTTTAGATTCATTACACACAACTGAGGTAGTTCAAGCCTTTTATTGTTTTAATATGGATGATTTTGGCCAAAAAATAAAGGAAAAAAACAAAAATCCCTTTCTAAAAAAAATGTGCATATTTCATCCATGTTATGGATGCCCAGGATGCTTTGATAGCGCCTTAAGCTCATCCACAGTGTTGGGTCTGGTGTCTCTCAACTTCCTCTTCACAATATCCCCCAGATTCTCTTTGGGGTTCAGGTCAGGAGAGTTGGCAGGCCAATTGAGCACAGTAATACCTTGGTCAGTAAAGCATTTACCAGTGGTCTTGACACTGTGAGCAGGTGCCAGGTCGTGCTGAAAAATGAAATCTTCATCTCCATAAAGCTTTTCAGTTGATGGAAGCATAAAGTGCTCGAAAACCTCCCGATATCAAGCTGCACTGACCCGGCCTTTGATAATACACAGTGGACCAACGCCAGGAGCTGACATTGCACCCCAGACCATCACTGACTGTGGGTACTCTACACTGGACTTCAGGCACTTTGGCATTTCCTTTTTACCAGTCTTCCTCCAGACTCTGGCACCTTGATTTCCGAATGACATGCAAAATTTGCTTTCATTCGAAAAAAAGTACTTTGGACCACTGAGCAACAGTCCAGTGCTGCTTCTCTGTAGCCCAGGTCAGCCGCTTCTGCCGCTGTTACTGGTTCAAAAGTGGCTTGACCTGGAGAATGCGGCACCTGTAGCCCATTTCCTGCACAGTGGTTCTGGATGCTTCTACTCCAGATTCAGTCCACTGCTTCCACAGGTCCCCCAAGGTCTGGAATCGGCCCTTCTCTACAATCTTCCTCAGGGTCCAGTCACCTCTTCTGGTTGTGCAGCGTTTTCTGCCACACTTTTTCCTTCCCACAGACTTCCCACAGAGGTGCCTTGATACAGCACTCTGCGAACAGCCTATTCGCTCAGAGATTTCTTACTGTGTCTTACCCTCTTGTTTGAGGGTGTCAATGGTGGCCTTCAGGACAGCAGTCAGGTCGGCAGTCTTATCCATGATTGCAGTTTTGAGTCATGAAACAGGCTGGGAGTTTTTAAAAGCCTCAGGAATCATTTGCGGGTGTTTTGTGTTCACTCGTTGATTCAGATGATTAGGTTAATAGCTCCTTTAGAGTACCTTTTCATGATATGCAAATTTTTTGAGATGGGAATTTTGGGTTTTCATGAGCTATATGCCAAAATTATCAGTATTTAAACAATAAAAGACCTCAAATATTTCAGTTGGTGTGCAGTAAAATATATGAAAGTAACATTTCTATCATTACATTCTGGAAAATAATTAACTCTATCACAATATGCAAATTTTTTGAAAAGGACATGTATGTAGAAAGGTGGCAGCGAGTCCGCCACAACTACTCGGACTTCAAAGCTGCGTCATCATCGCATCACCGGGTTTTAGCATGTGCTGCACAGTCGGCTGGCTTTCCAGTATTTATGTTTTAAAAACATACACTCCCACAGTGCAAGCTGGTGTCATTTACATTGAATTATCTCTCTTGCTAGCAGTTGAGTGTTTCACTTTAGGCATGACTAATCGATTTACACTCAGTGCAACTGTTGCACTAATGTAAAAGTCTGGTTCTTAGTTTGAGCAGTTATGCCTTCAGACTGGACAGGGACGGAGGGATGACGCCGCTGCTCAGTGCACATTGTCACAAGTGCAATCAATCATGAAAATGTCAGGTGGAAACACAAGCAAGCTAGCTTAACAAATTGAAAATGGGCGTCTCACCTCACAGAACTGCTTTTCAGCATATTCTAGCTTTGCTGCTTCGACGCAAACTTTTTTTCATGCTAAATAATTGTTTGTATAATGTTTCACAGGATAATGATTTGTTCAAATCCTTTCTTTTTTTTGTAAATTTTTTTTTTAATTCTATGTTACATTCATGTTGTTATGTAAATTTTTTTTTTTTTAATTCTATGTTACATTCATGTTGTTAAAGTGTGCTCTTCATCTCTTAAAATGAAAACAAGCAAGCAAAGTCGCACTGCTTTCACTCACCACCTACTGCCTGGAGACAGCTGGGATAGGCTCCACCACGCCTGCGGCGCTCAAGAGGATAAGCGGATCAGAAAATGGATGGATAGTTAACAATTCTTACAAGAAAAAATAAATAAATCAAATATAATGTAAAAATAAAATACTCCTTTTTAACTTCAATGACAAATGATGACAATAACGTACCTGTAGTTGGTTGCGGATGTACATATTACTTATATCATTCGTTATTGTCACACAACTATTGCCGGCGTGCTGGATCCTATCCCAGCTATCTTCAGGCAATAGGCAGGGTATACCCTCAACTGGTTTCCAGCCAATCGCAGTAAAGCGAATCAATGAATCGTTATATTGATTAAAAAAATAAAAGATGTGTTGTTCTGTGGCCAGCATCGATGTAAACAAGTCTAACCCTCATGATGCAGCTTTATCGTAGGCCTGACACATCGATACAGTTAAATAAATAGCTTAGTGCTCTCAACCATTTTTCCAGACGAATGAGCATTTCGATGCCAAAAAATATTGTGATTATCAGGTATTATGAAATTCCCCCCTTGCGCCAAATTTATACCCCTCATACCATTTATACGACCCGCCACTTGGTCCAACGTTAACTATTTACGCTTCTCTTCACTTTTCAGGATGAGAAACTAGATGGAGACAACCGCTACTTCTGTGAAAGCTGTCAAAGTAAACAGAACGCCACCCGGAGGATCAGACTGCACAGTCTCCCTCCCACCCTCAACCTGCAGCTCATGCGCTTTGTCTTTGACAGGTTTGTCCGAAAAATATTTCTAAAATTAAAAGATTCATATCCTATTAATCATCTCGATATGAAACATGGCAACAAATAATGATGCATCATTAAGAGTTAGTTACCCGATTATTGACAGCTTCTGTGATGTAATCTCTAGACAAACGGGGCACAAGAAGAAACTCAACACCTACATCAGTTTCCCTGAGCAACTGGACATGGCGCCTTTTTTTGAAGTCACAAAAGGTATCCCCACTTTTAATTTCAATGCTCTTCTGCTTCGGTCAGATATATGTGGTGACAAAAGGATAAATGACACCCTTGTCATACAAAATGGATGGACAAAATAGGATTTTGCTGACTTTAACCACAAAATGCCATGGTCCATGAACTGTCTGGCTCTGTGTGAAAATGTACTTTCCTCCTAAGCCTCATAACTGGTTTGGCTAAGGATATCATTTTTTGCCGAGTCTGGTCCTAATTGTTGAGTCAGGACCTGACCCGAACTGAGGCGAGGGAGACCTGCAGTTTTTACGATGTTGTTCTGGGTTCCTTTGTGACCTCTTGGATGAGTCATCACTGTGCTCTTGGAATCACATCTTTCGGCTGGCCATATCGGTTCATGCTTTCTTAATTTGTTTGTCATGGTTCTCAGTGTGGTTAGCTGCAGTACTCAGGCTTTAGGAATGACTTTGTAACCCTTTTCAAACTGATACATCTCAATGACTTTATTTCTTTACTGTTATTGAAAGTCTTCAGATTGGTGCATTTTGCTGGAGCTTTTTTAAGATATCTTGACCAACTTAATTTTGTTAGGCAGGTTCTATCTAAGTGATTTCTTGGTTTAAAACAGGGGTCCCCAACCGCCGGTCCGCGGACATCCGTCTGTGTAACACTTGACACACGTCAAGCCACGCTTCTCCATCACGTGACCGATTACTTCAAAACAAAACGCAGGAGCTCGCAAAATGAGTAAAAAAAAACTGCTGGAGATCACAAATGACGGCGGCCTTAAAAGTACGTTCGAGATAACTGGATCAAAGTGATGTCTGAATATTCTGAGATTGCCACAGTAGCACTGTTGCTATTTCCGACATGCTACCTGTGTGAGGCGGGGCTTTTCTGCAGCAACGGCGACAAAAACCAAATTACGAAGTAGACTTGACATAAACCACACACTTGAGGTGTCATTGTCTCCTATTACCCCGAGATGGGACCGTCTGGTTGCAGAAAATCAAGCTCGGTGCTGTGGTGAGTCCTCATTTTCATGCTCTTTGAATTTGCGTTGTATCGTATTTTGAAGGCATTAAACATTGCCATAGCGATCGGAGTGTTGCGGCCAGATTAGACGCTCCTTGTGTTTATTATTATATTTCGAAAACGCCACAGTTTTCATGCAGCTCATACCATATTATTTTGTTGTATTATTTCCGCCACACCTTAAATGCCGGTCCCTGAAAATATTGTCTTGACATAAACCGGTCCGTGGGGCAAAAAAGGTTGGGGACGCCTGGTTGAAAAGGTCTGGAATTATTTGGGCTCGGATGTGAAAATGAAGTAAGTTTTCCAAAAATGTGATCCACCAAAGTTGATGATTCAACAAGAGGGTCCTGCGCAGGTGTGTGTGTGTGTGTGTGTGTGTGTGTGTGTGTGTGTGTGTGTGTGTGTGTGTGTGTGTGTGTGTGTGTGCGTGTGCGTGCGTGTTTGTGTGCAGGTTTGTGTGTGTTTTTGTATATATATATATAGTAAATATTCTCTAGTGCGGACTCGTGTTTGCGCTGTCCAATTTGTCCTGATAACAGAAATTCCTCATTTGGGAAATGAGCATGGT